TCCATTTATTATTATTTTTAAAAATTATACTAATATGACACTTAATCCTCACCATTCAATGATTATAAATTCACTTTTAAGTGCATCATTCAAATCTAAAGCTAAGCCACCCCCAATTATAAATCCCTTCAAAAAAGAAAAAAAAAAAGAAAAAAAAATATATTAATGTGTAGTGTGAAAAATGTGGGAAGGCTAGACTTAAAGGCGAAAAAAAACAACAAAAGGGAAAATTGAGACAGGATGACTTAAGGTGGCGACGTATCCAACTAAAACTAGTGACGTAATCCATCCCAAACGATGTTACACGTGGCAAACATCCAAAGGAATCACTGAAAACGGACGGTTCAAATTTCATCTCTATCTTTTATCGTACAATCCCACGCAAGCAGACCAATGGCGTAACAAAGCTCTGAAATTAATTCTATACTAATTATCCGCTGCAGTTGCGTCCATGATAAACGTCGTAGTACCGCATCTACGTAAAGGAAAATTACCGAATTTTTAAGACCTAAAACTTCTACGGAAGGGGAAGTTAAGTCCTCAAACTTCGTTTGGGTAAGTAATCTCTGAAATTTCTTTTTGAGGCAATAATTTCAATTTATTTGCATAAATTATAAAATAAATGATATTTCTATCCACAATAATAAAATGAAAAACAAAGAAAGATGTACCAAAAATCAGGTCTACTTTGTCTAAATAGATTTTATTTTTTCTTTTTTCTTTAAACTTGACTATTGTAAAATATGTTCTTTTATTTGTTTTTTTTTTTTTATTAACGTTGAAATTACATGACTTGGCCTTGACCTTGTCTTGAGAAACGTAATCACTAATGAAGGATAGTCTTTTTTATTTTTTTTAATAAAATCACATTATCACAAATTTTATTAAAATAAATTTTCAATAAATCAAGTTAAATTATTTCAACATAGTATAAATTAAAAGACATGATTGTTTATTCCATTTATCTACATCAAATTACACATTGGTTACATTTCTATCGTAATTTACTTGGTTAACTAATACAAAATTAATTTTTTATATTCACAATCAAAATATTTTCAAATTAATTTTTATGTACCTGAAATCAATTTTTTAGAAATGATTTTAAAAATATACTCTCTACATCAACTTAATACATTTAAAAAATTAATATTTTTAAATACTAACTCTAACACTCAAATTTTAAATTTAATTTATAAAATAATATTTTTAGTCTTTAAGAATTTGAAAATTCATTTTATTTAGCTCTAATTGAAAGGAGACTAGGAGCACATTTGCGTAGAAAAGTATGTGTGCTTTGTTGCCTTATCATGAATGTCTCTGTCATTTAATCTCCACCGTTGGCTTGCCGTATAGAAGCGGCACTGGATTGTTGCCGAAGCTCATCAACTTCAAGTAACATGTCAGAAGTTGCCAGACTAGACCACAATAAAAGAATTCCAAAATATAAGTGTTAGAGACCAAACGGAGACTGTACTTTTACTATAATCATCGGATTAGATTTGGTTTTCCGATTTCTCTCCGATTTTCTCTCTCACCAAACACGCACCTAAGCAATTTCGCTGCTTTTTCTCCAGGTGCTTCCCTTCACCTTCGTGGATATTTTGCTTTTTCTATTTTTTATTATTATTATTTTTTGTTTACCTCCTCCCGTTTAGTTGCTGGGAAATTGTACTTTTTTGGAGCTTATTACTGCTTCAGGAATGCTTTGATTTTTTTTTAAAAAAATAAAAAATGGATCTTTGGTAGTGTGAGTTTGTGATTTGGAGTTGAATTGGATGAGTTTTGAGTGGTTAATTGGGTATTGAGGTTTTACCCCCTTTTTATGGATGCAGATCTGGGCAAGTAGGGTTTTCTTGGAGTGTGAGAATGCAGCGACCGACGACCAGATACATGGAGAGGACAAACAGCATGACAAGAGGGAAGAGGAGTTTGGAAGCTGAAGAGAACCAGCAGCCTGAGCGAAAGCGACCCGCTTTAGCTAGGTATTGCTTGTGCTGTTTTGATTCTTTCATTAGGATTTTGTTCTTATTGGATTACTTGATAGTTGCTTGTGTGGCTTGGAACAATGGGTAAAATTTTTGGAAACTTGATAGTTGTTAAGTTACTGTGGATTCAATAATTTTAGTTTGTGGAAAAAAGGAAGTGGTAAAATTTTCTGGGGTTACATCTGCTCTGGGATGCTGCAGCTTTAAGCATTACTATACGCCTAGAGTTATGTAAATACACTGACCAATATCTTCCGAGTTTTTGTTAAATTGAATTGTGGAGCACTTGGATGTGTTTTGTTCTACAACTGAAGTGAGAACCCATTTCTTAGCTGAGACTTTTACTTTCCCCTGGTTTTCCAAATAACTCACAATTTTTCCTTTTAGAACTGTCTTGACAACTAAATGAAGTTTTAGAGAACTGAGAAGTGTCCTTCCTTAACTTAACAACCATCTAATTTCATAGAGGTTTGGGTTTGTCATTTTTCAAACTTGACTCAAGTGGCATTTTTTGAAACTTGATTATGGCTATCTACTCTGTTTGTACTATAGAGTTTTGAAACCAAAAAATGAGAAACCAGTTGCAATATTAGAGGTGAAGTGCCATGAAAAATGTCAAAATAATCATTTTCTTTCCCAAAAGGGTTTGTAAAATAAACAATGATAATTGTTTTCATCCGACTCTTGATGGTTTACCTTTGTTGGTGGTGCAGTGGGTTGGCTTCTATGAATGTTGTCATCATTATTCATTTCTTTGTTATTGAGCTTCTGATTTTCTGGCCTTGTATTTGATATTTTTGGTTTGATTTCAAGTTTCAACATTCTCATGAATTTCTGGTTCATTTCAAATCTATACAAAAGTAAATGGGTCATGACTTTTTCTTTCAGTTGCTTCACTTTCGTGGTTAATTTTGATTTTTGTGCCCTCTGTTCAATTAAGTAGTGCAACTAATCACGTCAACTGCACAAATTCCATTAGCTTCATTGTGCCTTAACAAAATACTGAATGCTGTTTCAATGTATTTTTTCATTAAACTTCTTTTGCCTTCGCTTTTCTTGAGGTTTCTCCTTGTAGTATTTTGTTCAAGTTGCATCATTCATTACCGATTCTCTGACTTCTGTTTTATGAAAAATTGCATGTATGTATATCTTGAAGTGTAATTGTAGAAGCTCTCAAGGTGGACAGTTTGCAGAAGCTTTGCTCGTCTCTGGAACCTGTTCTCCGAAGAGTTGTAAGATTTGTTGCCCTCATGCATTGAGTTTCTTTGTAATCAATTTTTAGAATTTAAAATTGTTACAGATGTCTTGTTCCTGTTTTTCTTCATTTTATGAATGCAATTGATCCTTTTCAGGTAAGTGAGGAAGTAGAACGTGCATTGGCAAAACTAGGTCCTCCCAGACTTAATGGAAGGTATGGTATTTCTTCTTGTTGGTGGTGGTTGTCAAAATTTTTAATTATGTATCCTTTTTTATTTTAACATTTGGGGTAGTAGTTGATTATGACTTATAGATCCACATGTATTGTTTTCTGGTTAAGTATATCTGAAATATCGTGACCATTTGAATTGTGTGGCTACGGCAATTCAAATTTTTTATTAGAACTGGCACCGTATTAATAGCACTGTGCATGGCTTTTTTAGTACTCAAGATATTGTTTACTCATTTTATCTGTAAGTGGCAAAATCAGCATTTAGTTGTACTGTGAATGGTCTACCAAGTGCTGGTAAAATGCTGGGAAATTTTGCTGAAGTATTATTTAGCTATGTGAGCTGATAGGATCTGTAGGGGTGCTTATATGTAATGTTGTGGCCTCCTTTAGGGGCCAAGCTTAGAATGTTTTCTGATAATAATATTGTGGGATGAAATCAAATGATGGGGTTGTGAAAATGCTTTTGAGTTTGGCCATGTAAATCATTTTGGCTATTTCCTTAACAATCATTGACCTACATTGTGTTTATAATATGATTACTTTTGGCAATTAAGCTCTCATTATTTATCTTTGAGTATACTCAAGTCATTGCTCTATATATATGATGCTCATTAAACCTATAGAAAAAAAAGCGAAGCTTTCAATGATTGGAAATGAACTAAGTAATCTTCACTTGTTTTTAGGAACACATCTTCTGTTGAATTAATATATTAATTGTCTATCTAATACTTATTCTCTCTTCCTTTTTTTTCTCTGTGAAAAGATAGTCTTTCTAGCCCAAAGTGTTTGATAGAGAATTCTCTGACTTTTGGGTTTCAGGTCCTCCCCAAAGCGAATTGAATGTCCAGACGGACAGAACTTGCAGCTGCACTTCAAGTCAAGGTTGTCTCTGCCTCTGTTCACAGGTGGAAAGGTAGAGGGGGAACAAGGTGCTGCCATCCATATTGTTTTAGTAGATGCAAACACAGGACATGTTGTCACAACTGGACCTGAGGCCTCTATAAAGCTGGATGTTGTGGTGCTTGAAGGTGATTTTAACAATGAGGATGATGAAGATTGGACACAAGAAGAATTTGAGAGTCATGTGGTGAAAGAGCGCGAAGGAAAGAGACCCCTATTGACTGGAGACTTGCAGGTTTCTCTCAAAGAGGGGGTAGGAACACTTGGAGATCTCACTTTTACTGACAATTCAAGCTGGATAAGAAGCAGAAAATTCAGGCTTGGCTTGAAGGTTGCTTCTGGATTTTGTGAGGACAAACGCATTCGTGAAGCAAAGACAGAAGCTTTTACTGTCAAGGATCACAGGGGTGAATGTGAGTTCATGATATATTTCATATATCTACTTCTTTTGTACTTTTCTTGGATATTTCACTGTTACTAAAGTTGCATGTTTTTTGCTTGACAGTGTACAAGAAGCACTATCCACCTGCAATGAATGATGAAGTATGGAGATTGGAGAAGATTGGGAAGGATGGATCATTCCACAAGAGGCTGAATAAGGAAGGAATATTCTCAGTCGAAGATTTTTTGCGGCTTGTGGTCAGGGATCCTCAAAAATTACGAACTGTGAGTATTGTTTGGGATTTTGAAACCTAAGGTTTAAAGTTTTTGTATTCTCACGTCTGTTCTTTGATTGTAGATTCTTGGAAGTGGTATGTCAAATAAGATGTGGGATGCTCTCATAGAACATGCAAAAACTTGTGTTCTTAGTGGTAAGCTTCATGTTTACTATCCTGATGATTCAAGGAATGTTGGTATCATCTTCAATAACATCTATGAGCTGAACGGTCTTATCACTGGGGATCAATATGTTCCTACTGATTCTCTTTCTGACAACCAGAAGGTAGGTAAAATGTTTATTATTTTCATATTAGGGAACTCTCAAGTATTATCTTAGCTAAAGCCTAATATTTAGGCCTTCTATATTTATTGCAATAACTCTATATAAGAATGTTTATGCCTTAATATGTAATGTACGGTTATGCTTTTTGCCAGATATAATTTAAGTAGGTGTTCATGTCTTTATTTGTTCTAAGCAATATTCAATTCTATGGTTTAGCTTGTAGTCTGCTCAAGTTGACAATCTTTTCCTCTTAGGTAGTATCTTGCTTTTGGGTTGTTATTCCAATCCCGGATCGTGTGCTTGATGACCACCAGCTACTGGGTAGCCTGGTTGGATAGGAGAACAGAGAGAGTTGCTTAGGTCTTATAAATCAATAAACTGAAAAGAGAAAAGAAGAGAGGGCGAAATCTTGTTAGTCTTTTATGGCAATATATAAGAATCCTCTGATAAACCTCCCTTGTTTGTGGTTCAATTATTCACCATTAACTCATCATGTTGCACTGATGTTGTTAGCAAGCTGAGGCTATGGTATCAGAAAGCATGGATGGTGGATAGTGGATTGCATGATAATTTCATAAGTGACTAGAGTTGTGCCTTAATCAGTTAAGGTTCTATTTTTATTTTTTTTTCGTTTAATGTGTCTGAAAAGGAATTAAAAAACCCACTCTAACTCTATTGGACTTTAAGTGCCTAATTTTTTACATTTAATTTATATCTACTTTAGGGGTATAATATTCTCATCTTATTTATTGCTTCATAAAAATGTGGCTTATTTTGAGCTTCTTACATTGTGTTTTCTTTCGTTGCACTACTTAAGCTTGGGCTAGATGTTATCATTTTATTTCATTTTTCTGATCACATAAAATAGTTCCATTCATCAAAGAAATGAAATTTAAAATTAAAAAAATTACTGCAGGTCTATGTAGATTCATTGGTGAAGAAAGCCTATGACAATTGGAATCATGTTATCGAATATGATGGCAAGTCACTAGTTAATTTTAAACAGAATAGGAGGTCAAGTGCTCGAAATGAACTTCAGATGGGTACAATGGATTTCCCAAATATGTTGGATCACCAGCTGCAGCTACCTCGATTGCCAGTTTCAGCTCCTAATGAGCAGTTGCATTCAAGCCTACCTGTTGGAGGTAAGTATTCTAGTTACCCTAAACTTTTAGGGTGGTTTCATTGTAAACAATTTTAAAAACCAAAAGGTGATTTCTGTAAATTGTGAAAACCAGTTGTAAATTTTCAAATTTTTGGAAACCAGCATTGTAACTAAACAAGTGGTTTTCAACTTTTTTTAAGACAACCAAAAACTAGAAAATGAAACCCTGGTAAAGGGGCCTTTAGTTAGGATATATCTTGCTTGGCCCAATGACTCGCTGGCATCGTGCTTAAGTTTCATACTCTCTTTTGTCTTGATTATATATCAATTCACAACCCACAACCCATTCCAAGGATTTGAACTTGAGACTTAAAGACAAAAACTTGCTCTCTTCAACCAATTGGATTTGGCATACTAGTAACAGTTGGTTTTGCTTTTGTTTGTTTCAGGGTATAATGATAATCTAGGAACTGGATATACAAGCCAGGCCCAACTAATGAACAACACTTCTTTTGTGCCACATGAACAACTGATTAGCAATGCATTGCAATCACAAGGCACAAGAAATGACAACATTGTTGGGCTTGCTCTTGGTCCTCCACAATCTTCTACCCCAGGGTTCCAAAATGTTGGCTCTTCCATGCAGCCAACATCTAATAATAATCCTTTCGATGAATGGTCGCACAACCGTGACAAGGGAGTCGATGAGTTCTTTTCAGAGGAAGAGATTCGTATGAGAAGTCACGAAATGCTTGAAAATGAAGATATGCAGCACCTGCTCCGGCTCTTCAGTATGGGAGGCCATGCCTCTATGAGCGTGCCAGATGATGGGTATGCATTCCCACCTTACGTGTCATCTCCAATGCCAAACTTTGATGTAGATCGCTCACGTCCTGGAAAAGCTGTTGTTGGATGGCTCAAGATTAAGGCAGCAATGAGGTGGGGATTCTTTATAAGGAAGAAAGCAGCTGAGAGACGAGCACAGATTGTTGAGCTGGAGGAAGAAGAATAGTTGTCAGCTTTTTCTGCAGCTAGCCTCTCCTTGCATGACTTGGTAGGATGCTACTAGAAATCCGTTGATGCTGGCAAAAGCTCCCAAGGTTTTGAACCTAGAAATTATTGGCTTCAAGATTCCCGTGAAATCATCTAATCTGACATTGGGAATATTTCCTTGTACAGCTTCCTGTACAGTAAGTTGTCTCTCTTTCCTGGTAATGTGCTTCTGTACTTCCACTTTTACTATTGGTCTGTGTATGATGTCTGCATTTGGTTCAAGGGGGAAATTAACCTTTAAATGTATGGCCCCTTTCCCCTTGACTGATTAGAAGAAACGTGTATGATATATTAGGTGTGGCTCATTTGTACCTATAAAATTCCGAATTAGTAGTTGTATGAGAATTGCTGGTCCGTTTTTCAATGTTGCCAATATTTTGATAGTTGTATGCACGATCAGAGTTGTTTCTAAGATTGCTATCATTTGGCTCTCCCCTTTTAGCCGTTAACTTAATGTTTGCCTTCTTTCCAAACCTAAACCCCAACCTTCCCACGATTGGAACCTAACATTTACGATGTTTAGGTCTCAAGCTGTAGTTTTTGGGGTCCAGGTCTCTACCCCACATCCCATCTTCTCCCAGTCTTCTTGTTCTAGTTCCATCCTTCTTTCCTTCCCTGCTACCTCTGGTCTATCTGTGATCTGGTTGTAAGTGGGGAAGAGAAAAGTGAAAACTGAAAATAGAGTTGATATTTTATGTAATAAGAATCATTTGATTCAAGCTATATGGCAGCACTTATTGGGAAAGTCTTCTGTCAGTTTTCAAGTTGAACTTGGATGCTTTACGTTCTTGCTCGTAATTTCTTCTCTTTTCTTTTTCTCTCACAATCTCTTTGTTTTGTTAAAGAAAAAGTACATCTGTTTTACACTATAAATTGCATTTTTTGAGTGATACCATGTGTTAACGGGTGAGGTGAAATCAGATTTATTGAAGAGATGCATATTTGTAAAATTGATTGGGAAGATAAAACTTATCTGATTTGTTGCAGTTTGAATTTTAAAGAAATAACAATCCCTAGAATTTAGGAGGAAGTTATTATCCATGATCTGAACAACTAGCAAGTGAAGCGAGGAAGTAGTTCTTAGGAAGCAAATAAATAGAAGCTTTTTGATTTTTTCAAGACACAGCCAACCTTACACAGAAACTCATTAATTTTTCAATTCTTTAGTTTCGTAATGATCGTTTATCTTAGTTTTCATATTTCAATCTTAGTATATATCTCAGTAAATTTAAGTTGTTTTCAGTATTCAAGTATCCAAATTAGTTTGTGTAATTGTTTCTGATTTTCTTTCATGTAATAAACATCAAGTTTACTCTAATTTTCATTTTATTTAGCTTATTTTGAATCTATTAACTTAAATTCACGGTAGTGATGGTAGTGATAGTCCTTGATTAGCAACTCATTCTATAGGAAGACATCCGTTCCTCTTGCAAATCATCTGAAGGGCACAAAACTCAATCTTAAACCAACATTCTTCAGCCATCCTAACGGAGGTCAACCGCTTAAAAAGAGAGGATCGTTGGAAAAATCCCTTTTTCTTGTTTTTTATAAAAGTAAGTAGCGCACTTACATCCAGATTCCGCATATGCAAGCCACTTGAGGATTTTTGAGGGAACAACATCATATCTTGTAGTAGAAGGGGAGTAGACTATTTTCATTGAACTTAATTCATTACATCAAAATGAAAAATATGGAGGAATAGAAGAATCAAACTATAAAAATAAAGTAGTGGAAAAAGAGAAAATAAGGATTTCTTAACCCTAAAAATATAAACATATTTAATAATAATTACATGATAAATTTAATAAAATTAAATTTTATATTATGTCTCATATATTTAGTAGTAATAATTGAATATTATTATTTTTAATGTTAAAGACATAATATTTCTGTTTAATGTTTTGTTAATGTCCAAGTATCTTTGCTTTCGCACTTAGATCTCATGGTTTAATAACTATAAACTGATTGGTAAAATGCTTCCTGATTGGTAAAATGCATCCTCTCCCGGAGGATTGTGATTCGAATCTTTCACTTTCAAAATTGTGAGCTTGTTCAAAAAGAAAAAAAAAAAAAAGAAGAGTATCCCTGCTCTTGATTGAAGCCGGCCTAACAAGTGAGGTTGTCCGAGAGCTCTTACGATGCTTGTAGCCACTTTTTTTTCTATAATAGTAGTCCTTTTTCAGTTTCATTAAGTGACTGCATTTGCAATTCTTAATTTTAAATGACTGTCTTTTACTCAATTATTCGTATCCATTATGAATATGGTTTAAATGTGTCACTAACATTGTGCTTCTGTCCCTACGAAATAGGGTCCTATATGCATATCCAATTGCAATCACTTTAATTTTAACTTGTATAAAATCTCTATATTTCATTGAAAAAAATTATAAAAATAAAGAATTAAAGAATTTTAGCCTAAACAATTAAGCTTCGTCATTTATTTTTTAGTTGTCCTCCTCTAGGACACATTGCACTCCGAAGGTAGACCCTGAGGAAATCTCTTGATATCAGCACAGTAGTTGTAGATCATGTAGTTCTTTTGCACCCACTGCATCTTCTGCTGACTAGTGGAATCCAACTCTTGAGTTAGCCACGAGTTGTTGTCTGAGGCAGAAGATTGGGAAGTTGGAGTGCAAGAAGATGCCTCATTGGGCCAAACACAACCATTGGTATTGAAGTTCCTGTAAGAAGCTGTGAAAGGAGCTTGACTCCAGTCTGTCTTCACTAAACCACCCCTTGTAGCCCAGTCATCAGCATTCCACAAGCTGGAGTAGATCCTCATGGGCTGGCTTTTGGGATAAGTAACACCTTTTGATTCCATGTTCTTGAATTCTCTAATGGGTGTATCATCAACAGAAAAGCTGAAACAGAGCAAAAAAAAAAGGGTTCAGTTAATCCCAATTCTCATTTTACCACATAATGAAAAACAAGGAGGGAAATGGGATTTAGGACTAATGGGTACTTACATAATGCGTTCGGGATTCCAGAGGATGGAATATGTGTGAAAATCAGCAGTTGGGTCGAACCAGAGATAGAACTGCTGCTCCTTGTTACCCTTTCCTTGGCTGAACACGTTGGTGTGAAGAATGTAAGGATCGCCACTCAAATTTCCCAGGAACTCGAAATCAATCTCATCCCATGTAGACCCAGGTGACTTCATCTGTACATAATAAAAACACGTTATTAGAAGAACTCATTTGAAGACGAGCCATTCAATACAAAAGTTAGAAATGTAGCAGAGGGCTTACATAGAAGGTGGTAACGGTGCCAGCAGAGTTTCCAGGGACAAGTTTGAGCTGCATATCAAACTTGCCAAAGAGATACTGGTTCTTGGACTGGAACCCCGATCCAGAAGCTTTGTCTAGGGAGAGGGTAAGAAACTGGCCATTGTCGAGGATCTTACCTCGACCATCTCCCCATGTGATATCAACATCATTCCAGAAGTTTCCAGCAGAAGCAGTCATCAAACAGCCAAATACAATAGGCAGAAGAAGCTTAAATCTAAAACTTGAAGAACTCATCATTGCGAGTGAAGGATGAAAATCTGAATATGGAGAAAAGGGTTTATATGTTTTTGTGTGTCTGAAACTTTGAATGAGGAGAATGCATGGAATGAGTTGGGAATTTATAGCACGGAAAGTCAAGGAAGGGCAGGGGGAAGGTGGAGTGAAACGAGTTAATTAAGCTGGCTGACAGTTGTTGCCTTGTTGGAGTGGTAAAAAAAGACCATAAATTAAAGGTCAAAATCGAATCCAGCAAGCACACACGGCACAACCAAGATACAGCATTTGATGTGACGCGGTTTTGCTTTAAATTTTTTGGTAGGGACGGGTAAGAATGCAGTGCTATTGTCTATTGGCTGGACTGCGGTCCTACTCCGACCGGTGTACCGCCATTAAGACAATACAAGACAAAATAGAGATGGGAAAGTAAAAGAGCAAGATCATGTGGCTAAGGACAAGGCAAGCTGTTGCCTGTTGCGCTTTGTTCTGGTCTGTAATTATGAAAGCATTCAAACGCCTTTTGAGGGAAATATCTATGGCAATAAAATGAGTAATAAATTGTCTGTTTGCGTTGTCTAGGAAGCGAACTAACGTGTCTTCCTTTTCTTCTTCTTTTTTTTTTTTTTTTTTTTTTTGAACATTAATGAAGCACCAACGTTTCTTTTAATCAAATTTGAATGATCTCTTTTCTTATTACGGT